AATGTTTGTCAATCTGGGCTTTTGGATCCTTCATACTTCCATATTTTAAAGTGACTCTCTATAGGTCTGAAAAGTGAATAAGAAATCCCTAATTATTCAGCATCCAAGAAGCACTAAATTTAGACCACAGGATTATACTGGGCATGCTATTACTTTTTGGTTTTCTGAGAATAAGACAAAAAAATGTTCTTACTGAACAGTGATGTCTATACAAGGCCATGGTTATTTTCCCCTTGCAAGGTGAAGAAGTACATGAGAAGTTAAAGAAAACAAAAAGTGGTAAGTGGAAAGGGCAGAGGCAAGGCAGTGCAGGTAATATCAGGGTTGATGAAGGGAAGCATGGCAACAGCAGTAGTTAGGAGAGATTGGAATTAGAGTAAACGACAGTGTAGGAAGCTGTCAATCACGCTGAGCAGCAAAGAATCTCTCACAGATGAAGAAAGCTGAGAGAAGGCTCTGCCTCCAGGGTCAGGACGTGCACAAGGGGACAATAATATCCGTCACTAACTTCTGACGTCTGCCTGGAGCCGCGATGCAGATGAAGGAGGAACAGCCAGCACAGGTGGCTCACCGGTTTGGAGCAGCCTCATTGCTTTCGGCAGTGCGGCAATCCTGCACTCTGCAGCTGGCATTTCTAAGGATGTTTGCGTGTGATTGGGACAATTTAGAATAGGGGGAAAGTAGACGATACATTTAAAGACGATTTTGGTCAAAACTAGAAGACCGAAGCACACCCTGTGACTCAGAACTCCCGCCCATCCGGAATGGCGTGGTGGGATGTCAGCTCCCGCTGGGCAGGGCGCCCGGACAGGCACAACTGTGCTTTCCACCCGAAATCATCACGCCATATTTTAAATGAGCACTTGACATTGCCCAGTCATCCAGCGATTCTTCCGTAATATTATGGCTCTCTAAATCTCTAAATTTTGTATCTTCTCCCATTTCGACACGCCAGCACACCCTCTCCTCAGCAGCCGCTGAGGACCTTGCCCAAACATCGCTGAGGACACAAACGCACCAGTGGAGGTTTCTGTCCTCTCTGCACCAAATCAACCAGCCTGTCCCCATCTGTCCCTCTCCTTTCTAACTTCCCTCCTGAAAGGGAAGTGTCCTTGTTCCTTTTTGAGCTGGCCCAACAATATTTCTGACTCCCTCCTACTTCTGCTTTCTCTATCACTTTACATTTTCCCGTTGCCCTTACACTTATTTCCAGTCTCTTCTGTGACATCTGTTTCTTGCTTGCTAGCGGTCGCCGTCATCGTACAAATACGTTGCTGTATGTCACAAATAAGCCCAGTCGCAGCTATTGACTCCCAGTGCTGACCTCACGCCCGCTTCCAGTCTCTGCTCTTTTCTCTGGTGACCTTCACAGCAAAACTTATTTAAATTATTCTCTATATTACGCCTCGCTTCCTCTGCTTCTGAGGAAGTGAAACTGCTTTTGTTGCGGCCTCTTTGACTTCCACATTGCCGTATCCAGTGGTCACTGTTCTTTCCTCCTCGCACCTGACTTCTCTGCAGTCTTTGACACAATTCATGGCTGCCTCCCTGCAGCACTCCCCTCTTTGGCCCCCATGGTAACATGCTGTTTCGGTCGTACTTAAATCACATGATGTTTCTTTTCCATGCACTTTGCTGACCCTCCTAGTCCCTGGATTTGGGAGCAGCACGCACCTCAGCTCCATCTCTGGATCTCTGCTTTCTTCCATCTGAACGTTCTAACTGATCTCATAGCCCCGTGGATTTTGTTAGCATCTATATGCTAATGACTCCCAGCCTTGTCTTCTCCACAGAGTTCTGGTTTTACCTGGTTTATTGTAACAGCCTTCTAACTAGTCCGCCTGCTTCAATGCTTCAGAAGAGAACCAGGAAGAGCTTTCAAATGTGCATTGAATCTTGTTATTTATTCTGCAATTTAAGGTTGTTCATGTGGCTTATAAGGCCCTGCAGATTTTTCATGTTGAGCTTCTTTCACTTATTTGAAGACACTCGCCTCACCCATGCCTCTGGGCCTTTCACACCTGGCTTTCTTCTGCTTGGGCCACTCTGCCCATAGACCCCAGCACGGTTGCTTCCAGCTTCTTCTCATCATTTAGCTCTTTGCTCAAATTTACCCCTTCTGACAGTTCTCTACTTATCCGATTGAATTGCACTCTTGTACTTGACATTTTTTTTTTTTTTTGTCACATCACCTGGTTTTATTTTCTTCAAAGCATTGACCAGTTTCTGGAATTATTTACTCACTAATTTGTTCACTTGTGTGTCTGTCCCCTCCCTCTGGAGGGAGCGCAGGCCCTGAGCACTGTGACCGTGTGTGCCCCTCTCACGGTAGGGCTGAACGAATCATCCAAGGGAGTTAACTGTGCTTTTACTAAACTACTCTTTATTTATATGAGACATAATTTACTCAAATATCAGTGGGCAACCCTTATCCTCATCTTTTGTGATTTAGTCAGTAAATATAAGTATGAGCCTTCTGGCTCAATTCTTTCTGGCATTATAGGTTTTGATATTTTTTGGTCTTGACCTTTTCGGTTTGAAGGGTACTTGGATTTAAGGTGATTGTAGGTTCCCATGTCATTATAAATGCACTTTTCTGTATCTTTTCTAGTTCTACTGTGTCTCTATTAAGGTTTAGCCATCAGAAATACCCACAGGATTTTGTTCCTAATTTTCATCTTGGTAATGCCTAAGACTTTGATGATATTTTGGGTGTAGTGCAGTGTAGTATGATATCTTCCTGTCCTTAGCTTTTCTGTAGCCTTTACTTACTCTCATGACACTAGATCTCTAAAGTGCTAACTGTAGCTAGGCAGGTGCCCACTTGGAATCCTTGCCTAATACTTAACCCTATTCATTTTTGTTTATGCAGCCTCCAGGGTTGACACAGAAACTTACATAATATAGCTTGTTGTTTTGACCTTTTCTTTCTAATATTAGTCTTGTATTGATTCATTAAACATTTATTGCATGCCCATTAGGTACAAAGCATGTTTTTAGTCTCTCAGGGGGATGAAAGGTGAATGAGAAGCAATCCATATTCTTAAGGAATTTGCAATCTAGTAAGAAAGTCACTGTGGAAAAAACCCAATACACAAACTGCCTACAATTAAAAGCAGAATAAATAATTTTACTAACAAAATAGAAGAGAGAGAAAAAACATTTCCAAGAGATTTCATTGAAAAGGTGGAAACTTGATTTGACTTTAAGGATGGGCAGAGTAGGTAGAGGAGATGTAAAGGACTTTGAGCAAAAGATTGGAGCAGAAGAGTCATGAATGTACATGCAGAAACTGGAGTGATAGTCACACTGGCAGAGGGCATGCTACTTGAAGGGACATAGCCAGAGATGAATTTTAGAAAATGATTTAGGTTAGAGTACAGAGAGAGTAGTGAATACAAAGATTTTGGACTTTTTCTAGGCAGCAGAGAAAAATGAATGATGTTCAGAGACATATACTTTCTTGGTAATAAAAAGAACTACCCTATAATTGTGTGCCTAATCTGTATTGCCATTGAGCTAGTTGTTTATATCTAACCTGCACAATAAGGCTGAAAAGATAGGTGACATGATTCCCATTTTACAGATGAAGTGTTTGAAACCTTAAGAAAGAGATTAATCTGGCAATGTTGCAAAACATGGATTACAGAGGGTTGAGATGAAAATCCAAGCTATCAGCAGAGGATTAATCAATATAGATGACTGATTATATACTTTTGTTTCTTCCTCCCATTTCAATGTCCTAAAATTTACCCAAAAGATATATTTAAAAAAAATTCACAGTCATGCTGGCGTATTGGACTACAGACTTTGAGGAATACCTAAAAAGTGAAAAGCAGTGGCGATTGCACCAAATAAAGAAGCTTCGGCCTCAGTGCTCACTGGAAAGGCCTGCTACAAAAGATAGGAGCTCAGGTGGAGGCCAGGTCTGAGAGGCGAACCCTAGCCCCAGGGAAGAGGCCAAGAAGTAAGTTCCAGAGTGGCTGCTTAGAGCGTTTCAGTAGGCTTCGTACCTCCCACCACTGCGCTCTGGGCCGGGCAGTGACAACTGAGCCCGAACATGGGGGCTGCGTCAGAAAGAGCAGGTCGTGCCCCAGGAGCACAGCAGTGCCCGGGAGGAGCAGGGGCGCCTGTCCAGAGTAACCCCTGGTGCACCCCAGAAGTAAAGCATCTAAATAGCACGGCTAACTCTTCTCCACAGGCCATATCTCTTAACAGATTAAACATTCCCAGAGAGGCTAAAACAGGATCTTAAATACAAAAGATGGGTCTACATGCAAAGATTAACAAACATTTGAGGGGAATCAACTCCATTAAAAAAATAACAAATTCAACAGAACTTTCTGTGAAGGCCCACAACCTTATTTTCTGTGCCTGCCTTCTGGTTTTATCATTTTCTACAACCTGCCAGTTTTTCCTATACCCAAATGATGGACTGTTCTCTGGATACACAGCCTCCTTCACATTCCCTGCCTTGAGCCTTGGACTTTATCTCCCTCACGTTCACTGCTATTATCTTTCATTTGTACCATCTGAATGCTGATGTGCATATACGACTCTACATGGGCTCATATACAGTCCCACTTAAACCAGATTGATAAAGGGAGATACAAACTTTTAGGAGGCATCTAAGACCATCAAGACTCAAATTTATTCTTACTTTTGAAAGCACTGAGAACAACAAGTTTTTTTTTAAATTTAATATTAACTTTAGGAGGCTATGGAAGGCAGTATATTTCAGTATGTGTTACTACGTAAGCATATTTTCTAAGGGATTTTACACATATACTTGTGAAGAATAAATATTCACAGTGACTAATCTTGGTTTAATTAACACCAGAGGAAATAATAGCAGTTGGCATGACAAGCTATTTTCAGGTTTCCTTTATTTAGCTGTGTCCATGCTGTGCCGGGAGCCCCATGTATTCAGCTAGCGCCCCCCCCTTTCTCCTAACAACCAAGCTGGCCAGGTATTCAGAGATCACACACATAATACTCACAGTTTGTAGCCATCAAGTTGCCAAAAGACTGGGCCCACTGCAACACTTCCTCCAAGGTAAGGCTTTGAAAAGAAGCACAAAAAGTGCTGATTGGGCTAAAACACTCTCAAAGTTTTGCTGAACTACCTGGAACTATATTATCTTGAAAATGACACCAAAATATAATTAATTTCCATTTGTGTGCGGTTGTGGAAGGAAGTTTATCTTCCTTTGATCTTTTACATTTCATTTTTACTACATAAGTTTTTAAAATTATACAAATTATGAAGGTAGTATATACTTGAAAATTTGATAAAGTAAATGTTATGAAGATAAAGACCATAGTCTTATAATCTCCCTATTCACAAATTACCACTATTAGTATTTTGATGTAGTCTTTTTATATGTATATTTGTATGTTTGTTAGCCATAAAGTAATCATACTCTGTGTGTGTGCATACTTTATGTGTGTGTATATATACTCTTAGTAAACATTTCATATGTCATCACAATTGTCTTAATCATTTACAGTGTTATAATTTATTATTATTCGTTTATAATCATTGATAGTAATATCATTTATAGTGATCACAGAATATTCTACAAGGGGGCATTCCATAGTTTATATAATTATTCTCAAAAAGCATTTTGATTTTGTCTCATTTTTCACCCTTGAAAGCCAAAAGGTAGCACAACTGTGTTTAAAGTTTGCCATTGTTAGCATGATTCAAGGCGATTAGCAGAAGTAGAATGAAAGTGGGTGAAAACTGCACATTTTTAAGGTCCTTGGTACAATGACAAATTGCTTTTAAAAAGGTTGTGTGCTCTGTGCTGCTGCCACCAGCAATATTTGTCTCTGAGACTCACAGTGTATCCTCAAAACCTATTTGCATGCACTCACACAGCAAAGTCAGTACCCCTAGATCTATTATTTCCTCCATCTCTTATTTGCTATATATATTTTTTTCATTTTGAGGGTTTTAATTTTTATTAAGGTATAATATGTCAAGCAACATTTGACCTAAACAGTATAACCAAAGCCATTTACCATTTAGAAAATATCCGTGAAAGATACTGGCTTTGAGGCTTACTTTCTGTTCATTTTGGTGCATTGCATGAGGTGAGTTGGCAAGAGACTATGTATTCTCACATACAGATAATTTTACTTTTCTTCTTTAAAAATAGTGTGTTCACTGCCATTCAGTTTATGGTAAACGCTTAGTTTTTTGCCTTGAAACAACTAGATATAATCACAGGTGGGTGTAGACCCAACACGCCCTGCCCGTGGGCTGCAGGAACAGCCGTCAGGATTAGCAGGTTCTTGACATAGTGAAGGAAGATTAGTTAAAGAGGTTAAAAAATAAATTAGAACATGGAAAAATATTGGGAGTCCTAAAAAGGTCAAATATCTTTTGTTTTCTAAAAATTCAGATGGATCCTGCCAGTTTTGGACAGACTGTTCGCATCAGTACTGAGGCTTAACAGTGCACTGTGTTAAGATTGCTCTCAAAAAACATTTCCATGAAATGGTGTCTGACTCAGTGTTCTTTTCTCTTATTAGAACTTTAGAAAGAGTAACCTAAAATAACCTTTTCAATCCAGTGAAATGGAGCGTGCTCGGCGAGGTGTAGTGCACGCCTGTCTGTTCCACTCATTCCCATTGTGCAGGAAAGAAAACCCACAACACGAATGAGGATGCCATCACTGTTGGGTCAGCTTAAAATTAAGTGTTGGCAATTGTTGGTAAGAGAATTCCTTTGCCTCTAAGATTCATGAGATTGATGGTGATAAACTGTGATTGGAGTAATGATGGTGGAGGGTAAAGTTGTGAAATGAGATTTGGTTTTGGTCGAACCCATTTTTGCTTATAATTTTTTTTCCTGAGTACCTTACAATTTCCTGTTGGCCCATGGTGATCCAAGTGCCTTTACTAGAATTATTCAAAACACATTTGTCCCTGTATCTGCTGAATTTCCTGATACAAGTTCTCCAGTTTTGTGTCCTCTCCTTTCTCTGTGCAGACAGGCAGTGGACACCAAAGGGATAGGGGAGCATTTGGGGATGTCATGAAGACAAAGGAATGAAGAGTGTTTGGAATCTGATAGCCCTAGGTTCTAATCCCAGTGCAATATTCAATGGTTTTTGGTCTTATGTGAATTCTTAAAATCCCAGTTTTATCATGTATAAAATGAGAATAATAATGTCTACTTCACAAAGTTATAATGAAAATTAAATTCGATAATGAATGCAAAGCACCTATCAAATAACTATTATCTGAGATCCTTCCATGAATGTGAATTCTATTTTTTTTTTTTTTGGCCTCTCCCTTCCCTCCTCATCGGTCTACAAGTAGGTAGCACGAAATGCAAGCTCTGACAGTGAGACTCTGTGGAAATCATCAGAAAAAAAGGAAACTGTCCCCTATTTAGCCTGTTAGATCTTTTTTCCTTGGATGCACCTGTGCAGTTCAGCAGCCTCAGCTGGTCGTTTCAAAGCTGAGCTTTAGGTCTTCCTGTCTCCTTCGCCTGCCACTGCAGCTCCTCCCCGTCGCGCAGTGGCTTGGAAGCATTTTTGGACGTTTCAGTACCTCAGTAGAGGAGCGCGCATGTGCTAGGGCCTCTGGCCACGCGGCAAGATGTGGGCAGAACTGAGGTCTCCGACGGACTGGGTCAGGCATGCACGGTCCCTAACCACGAATGCGGAGCCCCAGCAAGGATCCTCAACCCCGGGATTCTCCAAGCTGAGCAAATCCAGTAGAATGGGTTGTTCCCCTTCCAGGCATTATACTTTCCATTTTAATTCAGCCACTATTTCCATCCAAATGGTTACATTCTTAGTTATGGCAAAGCGTACAATAGGAGAGGCGTGGTGGGTCTCAGTGAGCATCCGATTACTCCTCCACGCTTGCCCCTCACCTAGGGATGAAGCTTTCTGGCATTTGTACGTGGACAGTTTGAACTGTGAAAATATTTTGGATCAAAGATCTCATTTTAGCCTAAACGATAAAACTTTTAAGAATGAAAAATCTTTGTAATAGACTCTTTAAAAGTATTTAACTTGTTGAATTCTCAAGTGTAAACCATGAATAATGAAAATGGAATTTTAGTGTTGTACATGGCTGCCCTTCTGGTGGAGTTACTCATGTGTAAATGCAAACTTTACTTTCTGAATGAAATGCATTAGGATAGCAGTTGGATAAATATACACTTATTCATCATGTGATGAATATGCTTTTATGAGTCTCATGCTCTACCAACTGAACTAGCCGGGCAGATGTTGAATATGTTTTAAAATTGCTATAGAATTTAAACTTTACTTACTTTGAAGGGAGCCTCTTAGATTGATTTCTGCACATCTTGCAAATCCAACAATTTCGCCTGCTCATTTTTCTAACGACACGCAGAATATATCTGTATAATTTAGTCATTTAAAATAATTATATGTTAGACTCAATTTTTAAAGAACATACAGAATTATAAATTATGAAAAAAATAAGGATATGTTCTTGTTCTTGAAGTTAATAAAATGCAATCCCTGGTGGGGGTAGGGAGGAGAGGGAATAAAATAGTCATCTCTCCGACATATTTTATAGGAATATAGGTGCTTAGATCCGTGAGTGACTTTAGAACACTTCTGGTTTACCTATTCATCAAATTATGAAGTTTCAAAAATACCAATCTCTGAAAAGGATCTTTTCATTTAGAATCCACTGACAAAGAATTCTCCAACTCCCAAGGCTCCCTTTTTGGAACAATTCTTATTTTCAGAAAGCTCTCTCAATATAGTGAATAAGAATTTGCCTCTTTCTAATTAGCCAAAGTGTAAATAACCAAATAAAAATAAACTTCCTTAAGAGTGAATTCTAAGAGTGGTGTTGCTTACCTGGTTTTATCTGTTCCAGTCATTGTAACTTTGAATTTAATATTTAGACGAAGTTCCCTCAGCCCAGGCACCTTTACATACGGTACATGTCATAGAGGGTTTTTAACTCAGGACTTTGAGAAAACAACTTGCAAAGTTTTAAGAATAATTAAATCCACACTTTATAATGAAAGCTGGAAATAGTTTGCTAAACATAATTACACATTTATACACAGTGAATTATTGAGGATAAACGGAGCGTTTTAATACCAGTCTTTACTGATTCATTCAAAGTCTGTGCTGAGCGCCTGCCACGCGCGGGCCGCGGTCTGCAGCTCCCGCCTCGCCTCCGCCGCCGCGAGAGGCGGCCGCACGGCGCTGGGCCTGGCGCCGAGTGAAAGGGCCGCGGCGGCGCGAGAGGGCGCGGCGCGAAGCAGGGGCGCCTGAGCACGGCCAGTGGGACGATAAGAGGGGTTTAGTTGCCACGGGGATCCGGAGTGTGGCAGAGAGCGCGGGGAGCGAAGGCTAGAGAGTTAAGACTGGGCCAGTAATCGCGTTGAAAATGTTCGCTCAGGAAGTGGCGGGAGAAGACGTTTAAGGACAGGCAGCGGCCGAGCACGTTAGGCCACTTAGGGTGTCGATTTCATGGTAAGGAGTTGGAAAATCATTCAAGGTTTTAAAATGTGGAATAAGCTTGCTGACATTTCAAACTGGTTTTGTGAGTAGACTGGCGGGGCGAGAGCGGGCCTAGCGGGCGGGAGGCGGGGCGCCGGGCGGGAGGCGGGGCGCCATGGGGGCGCAGGCGCGTGGGCGGGCGCGGGCGCGGGCGGGAAGGAGGGGTCTCAGACGTTCTGGAGGAAGAACTGTCTGAACTTGTTGATGCGGTGGATACGGAAACTGAGAGGAAGAAAGGGAACAAATTTAGGTGAGAGATTCGATTTCAAGATAAGGCTGGGCAAAAATCTAAATAAATAAAAATGATGAGATGAAGGGAGAGAGTGTGAACTGAGACACCAGAGGGCCCAAGAGGATTGACTGAAGAACAAAAACATTTAAGAGAAAGACTGTGAAAAAGGAACTTGCAGGAAGAAAATCAGAATAATATGATATCGCAGACACCGAGGAATGAGGGTTTTCTTTTTCATTTTTGTAGAGATGTGGGTCACACTATGTTGCCCAGGCTAGTCTTGAACTCCTGGCCTCAAGTAATCCTCCTGCCTCAGCCTCCTGGTCACCACTGTGCCCTAAGGGATGGGTCTACCAAAAAGGAAAGAGTGGCCAATCGAGTGTAAAAAGGTGGGAAGAGATTAACAGAGCAAAGGACTGAAAAATGCTGTCAGGTTTGTTAACAAGGTCATCGATGACCTTGGTGAGAGGGGGTTCAGTGGCGCAGGGAGGACAGGAACGAGAGGGAGGACAGCAAGAGGGACTGAAGCCCAGGACACATGGAGGGCTACTGCCACAGAGCTATTTGTAATTTGTTCGTCCTTTCTTCCTTGCACTGTTTCTTTCTTCCTTGTCTTTTTTGAAAGCTGCTGATAGAAAGGTAGAATAGAGTCAGAGGCAGGGCTCTTGCCGTGGCCCACTCGGGGCCACCAGCGTGTCTCCAGGGCCATCATCACAGTAGTCTGCACTGCCAGTGACACACCTGAGGTTGGCCATGGACAGCAGTTGAAGACACAGGAGAAAGAGGGAAAATCATGAGAATTTCAGGTTCCTGAGAAAGAAGGAGGAGCTAGAATTCAGAATGTGGGGACTGGGATAGCCATTGGAGAAGTGGAACTATAAGAAGTTACTGTTCCCTTGTAACGAAAGGGTAGGAAAAGTATAGGCGCAGATTCAAGTACATCTGCAGATTTGAAGATAGGAACTTGCGGGGGCATGGTCTGATGGACTTTGTTTTCTGTGTGGGTCTCTACTGTTAGTGAGGAGGACCAGGCAGCAAGGAAGTTAAATATAACTATAGGAAGGAACAAGATGGAAGGGGCGTAGGTTAATTCATTAATTAGGACTCTTTTGATTGCAGATATAGACTCAAAGTAAGTTAAGCAAAAGGGAAAGTTTATTATAGGGATAAGTTTGTGTGTACAGTGAGATTCTAGATGACCTTAAATGCAAGACTAAACATGGACTTTATTTTGTTTGGTAATAGTAAATTCTTATAGGTTATCATATATATTTTTTAATAACTTAAATAGAATTGTTTGGCAAAAGCAGAGCAGTCTTAGAATGCAACACTCCAGAAGCACAGTGAAGGCGAAGTGATTCCCAGATGCACTAGAGTTTAGGGGCTTCTAACAGCTCCTGAGACGTGACCGAGCATGCTCAAACAATTCTTGGCTCTGAAGCTGGACAGACACGCACTTGAGATCAGGCTCTTATTAGCTGTGTGATATTAGGCATGTTAACTAAGCCTCAGAGTCTCAATTTCCTTTTTTTCTAAAATGGAACTCTCAAAATTAGGAAAAAATGCATGTATGCAAAAGCTTTCTGTTCCAGTTTATCTGATCTTTCTTCATCTTCTTGCACTGTCACTCAGAAAATATTTCCTAAACTCTTTTTATGTACACATTCTGTCAGACTGCATTCCTTCCTCGTTTCACATTTCAACTCAGATCTCACAAGTTTTCTCTATTAACCTTATCCATTCTTCACATGTCAACAAGTCTCTGCAAATCCTTCTTCTCTTCACTTTTGCTGTTCCTGTGTTCCTGTATTTCAGTTGTTCACACATCATATTAGTGGCTGGTCCCAGCTACGTGACTGATTCTGAAGAGGTTCTCTGGTCTAAGCCACTCAGTTGGGGGACATCGAAAAAGGAGAAAATATAAATATATCTATAAAAATACATATAAATAATATTATTTATATATCTGACTTATCTACTTCCACTAGACTGTAAGTTCCCTGCAGTGTTTGTTCAAATATTATTTGATAATCTGTGTGTGCAAGTTGTTGTTTATATGTTGTTTAGTACTCTAAGTCAAATGTTGACAGATTTATTAAATTACAGAATACAAATAGAGTATCTCATAAAAGTATCAATAATTAAATTGCAGAAAATATTTAGGGACAGAATTATGCACAAGATGTATTATGCATAGAATGAAAAGACCACAAAAAATTTGAGTTTTATGAAGTTCTCTGGTTTTCCAGTCCCTTCTGAAATGTCCCAGTGATTGGAGCTCTTCTGTGCCCCTGCCCAGCACCTGGTGCCCTGCCGCCTAAATTCTAAGATTTCTGGGATCAAATATCCACCCACATGTCTGCACTTCTGTGCTTCTATTGATTCACAGTTGCCATGAGCCACTACTTTGCTGGAATATCACAGAACATTCCCTGTGCCCTCATAATGCCGTCCACATTGAAACAAAGAGGTGAATTCACAAATATTTAACCCAGTTTTGGATAAAAAGGTCAGATTGACCACCCGAATTTATTACCTTTTTGAACCAAACACTGGTAAAATTATAGTAAAGGAAAATGAAGGCTTAACACATTGACTACCACACTAGAAAAAAACTTTTTCCCTGGGGCCATGGTGTTTTATTAAAACAAAATTATCCTTTCTAACTTGTTATTTTTTATTGTTTTCGGAGCATGAGTTAAATGCAATACAATCCACGTTTTTAGAATTAAATTGTCAATATTAATTGTAACAATAAGAACATCAACAAGTAAGATTTTTCAGGAACCAACTGCAAGGTTTTGCTTCATGAGGCCCTGGGCTCAAAACTAGTGTGGGTTAAATACAACTCACATGGCAGTTAATGTGTTAAACATGAAGGAAAATGACAAAGTATTTCAAGGTTATTTTGGAAGGTGGAAAGCAGATGAAGGAATAGAAGTTAAAATTCTCATACCTCTAAAATGAGAAGAGAAAAGACAGCCTTTGAAATTTCATCAGACAAAATGAGAAAATATAATCCACAGTCTGAGGACAAAGAATTTGCAAAATTACTACTGGTTCAAAAAGAAGTATCTGCAATCCTGCATTCAACAGTATTTATCATTAAATAATACATCTCAATTGACAGTTAAATACATCAAAATATAGAGTGACATATGAAACCCTCTCACATTTATAATTGAGAACATATAAGAAATATTTTAGGTAATTCCCAAAAGGATAAATTCTATTTTTTTAAAAAAAGTATAGGTCTTTAGGATAAGGATTTGATTAAAATTTCCTATTGATTAACACATTTATTTTGTTTATTAGTTAAATCTAATAATATTTTTAGTTAAATTATACCCTTCAGAGTAGAGTACAAGGAGTCAGTTACTGGTAAAAATAACAATCAACCTCAAATATTCCATAGAACTGCAAATTTTGGCAAAAAAAGAGTTCCTGTGAAAGAAAGAATGACCTAAATTGATATAATATAGACCTGATTTAAATTGTAGATGAATTCACCAAGATTCAAATCAACAATAATCATTTTTTCTCATGTTGGTGGTATGATATGTGAAAACATTCCACTGATCTAAAAATAAAATAATAACAAAGCAAAACAAAAATAAAAAGATTATTGTGTGCTTCCTGTAAAATGCATATTTGGCAAGGATTTCTATAAATAATCTGCCTTAAGTTTTAAGTAAATAATGTTTCCACTTCATAAATGCTAGATTATGGTTATCTCTATTTTTGATCTATTAACTCCTTATCAAGAATTTTATTAATTTAATGAACTATTATAAAAATTCCTATACTGCTTTATTTGTCTTTTTCCATTGATTTTTCTTTAAATATTTTATATTTATCTTAATATTACATATCAATTTGCTTATCTTTTTTATTTTTCAATAAGTTCTTGGTGAAACTAATGTGCACTTTTACAATCTAAGGTTATTTAGAACAAGTTTAGGTCTCCATAATGATTTTGCTTCCAAAGTTTTCTCCTGATAATTATTTAAGAGAAAGGATACATCTCATTGATAGAATCTAATTCTTAGAGTGTTTATAAATGCATTAGTGATTAATTGAATTTGATATGTATTATGCCAGAAATAGAGTCAAGTTTCCTGTAGTATTTAAATAAAATCTTAAAGTGATATGAAAATAAATGAATTTTTAAAAAAAATATTTTCACATATTTAAATATTTTTATTATCCTAATAGGAAATCAGTAATTCTTTCTGTTCATATATAATATCTGTATTTAAACACATGTCTTTATTTTATGATGTAGTATGCTACCTACATAAAATTTAGAAAAATCCGAAGCAAATTACATTTTAGTGAGATCTTGTTTGCCAGAACACACAAAATTCTTGCCCTTTAAAAAAATAAGTAATTTGCGTGTAGCTGTGCTTAGGCATAACATGAAGAAATAAAGAAGTTTCATCAAATCAAGATTAACAATGCTTCAGATAAACCTTGTAACAATCAAATCTGGAGTCAGTACAACTAATAAACTGTTGGAACAAATAATTTGGTAATGCATAATTTTTGAAATAAAGAATTCCAAAATGTCTGACTTTATAATATATCCTTATCTAAACATATACATACATATACATACATAAAACACATAAAATGAAAGAATATACTTTAAAACTATTATCTCCTATTGCCCAATTTAGAAAATTTGTTTATATAGGGGGAGGTGACTGTAAATTTTTGTTTTAAGTATAAAAAGCTGGGCATAAGAATATGTGTTTACTAGTTTGTTTTTTTCTTAGAAGAAACCCTGCCAACACTCCCAGCAGTCCTGTAGAAATCACCATCCACTAGTCATTTATATCAAGCCAACATTCTTGTTTTATCAACTATTTTATAGAATCTCATACTTACAAATATATCCTGTAGAGCAGTCCACCATGCTCAATTTTATCTCCTCTTTATTATGATCCTTTTGAATCAGGTTCTGAAATTTCACCAGACACTCAGCATTTTATTTTTCCCAGCATGAAAGGATTTTGCTGTCTCTGTAATTACCTTCTATGGCACTCTGGCCTCAGTACGAATGTTCCGTTTTTACACACAAGTATCTATGCAAAGAGAGGTTTTGTTGAATATGGAAAGTAGTGCTGTGGGATTCCAATGCATTGCTGATAAAGAGGTTTTATCAGACGTTAGCAGACCAGCTGAAGTGATCAGATAATTGGAAGCAGCAGCTCCATGAAATCTTCAATGTAATAGTCAAACCCTCTTCCCAAAATAATTCATTTTCTAGTTTTAAAAAATGTATAGCCTAAAGTAAAATCCCTTTTTAAAAAGACAGAGAATTGAGTACAGACAAGTAGGCTACCACTGCACACACATGTCATCAAATTGTTGAGAACCATTAAAATCGATTTGTTTGGAATAGTCAAATTACTAGGGATTTATCACAATGGAAGGATCTAAAAAGGACTCTTTCATAGTCAAACCTTTCTAGTTTCTTCAACTGGTCCTCTAGGGCAGTTTTGAACTCTCCATCATTTTCCAGTTTGTTAATATGCTTGTTAAAATTTAGATTGAATACAATGCTTAAAATGAGGTCTAATGAATACAGAATAAGATGAGATTATTAGTGTCCTTTTCCTGGATATAATCCAACTGTGTGTGAGAGAGAGAGACAGAGACAGAGACAGAGACAGAGTGGTGGGAGTTGAGGAATGCTGTAATAAAATAGCAAAAAAGAAGATCAGAATGCAGTTGATGGAGTGCTTAAAATATTGAGGAGTCCAATAAGGTAGAAGATTATCTTTACTTGCATTTAATGATTTTGAGGTCCAAACCCAAAGAGATTGAATTTATCAAACCCAAAAGATGAGTTTGGGACTAGAATAGGCAGACAGACTTCCGAATGTCAGAAGCCGAGCAGATGCAGCAATGACACGAGGCGCAGGGTTTGCCTTAGTTGGGAAGGATTCAGGTTTGCTGATAGCACCCACTTTCCCTGGTTGCTAGTGGTTCCGGTTTCCTTCCCTACCTCAGGACATTTGGAATGCCACATCTCTCCAGGAAATCTTCAGTGTCATAGTCAAATCTTTTCTTCCCCGAAAAATTCATTTTCTGGGATTCAAGAATGTTTCCTCTTTCTCATGGTTTGGATGCAGGGAGCTGGCAGGAAGATTCTGCAAGGACTGCCCCATAAGGTACTTTTACCCTCTTACTCTCTAAGAGTGCCCCTTTCAAACCCTGCTTAGCGGGGTCAGACATAAGCATCTTCCTACATGGTAAAAATTGGGCATCAACAGAGACTGAGAAATGAAGAAGTTGTGGAATGGACAGTAACAGAATGAGTAGGCAGAAGGTGGTCCTGGAGGAATTCCAGAACAAAGTGTAGGTCCTTGTGGCAGGTTTCTAAGCATGTTTAGTTCCCTGAAGAAGGGAAGGGCAAGTTCAATCAATGGAGTGAGAGCAATGTAGTCCTTGGAACATAGGTGAATCAGAATGATTCAGAGCTGTCGGGCAGGTAACGGGATCGTAGTGCTTTCATTGATGCAGCTTAGGAATGCCCTTTCCTTTGAAAGGCTGAGTCTTTCCAACTAACTGCAACCTGCCTACTATAGAGCACTCGTAATCTATTCTTATTTCAGCCAAATTAAGTCCAAAGTAACACAAGTTCAAATAGGTACAATTAAAGAATATTTAGTAGTTTGTATGTTTAAAACCCAGAATGCACTTCACAACAGAATAATGAAATATTAGAAATCATAAATATTAGGATTTGCCATTTATATCTTCTGCAAAAAAGGGAGAAATATAGCTACTTGGTTAATGCCAGTGGTGGTGGTTTAACAAATAACCATAGGCCGATTATCACGGTGCATCCTGTTTATATTATACAGTTTTTGCCATTTGTTCATAGGATGGCACTTTTCAATATATTCTAGGAACAGGACGAATTCTTAGACACTGGTGGATTCTTCAGGGAAGTGTATCCAGCAGGGAGAAGTTCGGGCAGTGTCTGGAGGGAGACGGGCGCCTGCTCCTGCTTGAACCCTGCACCGGCCCCTGCGGCCTCCCAGCCGTCCTGTCCGCCTGTGCTGCCTCCCGCGCCTCTCTCCGCGCAGCGCCCGGCCCGGGTGTGGCCTAAAACTCTGCAACCAGACACTTGACCCATCCTGGTCTTGTCCCCTCTGACTTCCTGCCAACCAGAAACAACCTAACTTTGGCTTCTGGTTTGTGTGAGCCCAAAACATAGTGACAATATAAATTAGAAACAGATTACTGAGTACCTGACCCTGTTGCCAGCACAAAATGAACTTAAGTAGCTGTTGAAGTTAGCATTTTTGCCTGCATTTATTCAAATGACTGGCTTTAAAGATACCTTTAGTTATCATCGTGGTCCTGCCATTCTAGAGAGTTTAGTCACTAACTCCCATTCTTCTTTTCCTCTTGGCAGCTGCCCTAAATCCATTCTCTTGGCCCTCCCTGGAAGTCAGTAATGCTCTCTGGTTTTGGATCTCCAGCTTGTAATTGAAAACAATATTGGTCCTTCTTGGCTTCTCTTTTCTCCTGAACACTTGGTGGATCATCGTGTCCTTCCTGGCCAGCTTCCAGGGCATCAGTTAGAATGTTGTTTCCTCCAATGTAATTAAGGCAATGTTAACATAGCTAAAAAATGATATTCTTTTCCTGGAAGTGAAGGAAGCTGTCTGCAGTGGCTTAATGTGAACTGAGGGCGTCTACTTGCATTTTTGCATATCCACGCTGTTTAATCTGTGGAATTCTCCGAGGACTGGGTTGAGGGTGCCTCCCTTTGAAGAAGATTTGCATTTGGCTCTGTCAGGCAGCCCAGGTATTTCCAATCCAGGACTGATGTGCTATTTACTTGGCTTGGGCTTCCTGGACAACACAGGTAGGATAAATTTAAATTACAGACCTGGTATTACACTGAAATAGATATGTGTCCTTGTCATCAGTCTTTGCAGGTGACTAGTTTTTTCTGTCTACTCTTTCACAGAAGGTGTAGCAGTCTGCGAGTCCTTGGCTCAATGTAGGGACAGCCTTCAATTTCATTTTCTGCCTTTCAAAGGACTCTTAAAAGCCAGATCTCTAGGTAACTGAGATTAGCAACTGCTGAACTCACCTATACTTTAAATGCTAGTTTATGATTTGGGTTTAGGACTTCCTTTTTTTTTCCCCCTTGATTTCCCTTATTTTTTGCAAGCTTGGCTACACACTTAAATGGGAGATGTACCTGTTATATTTTTTTCTAGCATTTCTAAGTGTCTGGTAGAGAGAAGATCTTTCATGCTATGTCCTGGAACATGCATAAAACATACTACATCCTGAAACATACTATGCTCCATATTTTCATTTTTATGAAATAATGTAATATATTCAGTTTTAGACAAAACTGAAAGCAATGAAATATCAAGGAAACTGGAACTTGAGCATTTCCTTGTTGTCACAGATGGAAAGCACCATTGTTTGCTTCTTTAAATGAGGAAGGCCTTGAACACACAGGGGCCCACCAGTGTGTATTTGCAAAGCTTTGGCTAGTCTGTCTCTAATCACCTAATCAACTCCCTGTCCTTGTTTGTAAGGTAAGCCTGTCCCTTTCTGCCATGTGCAAAGTATATAAATTTTCTGCTATAGAAGAGCAGAACAAACATACTTGTGCCACATTTCCTGGTTTTTTTCCCTATCACAGAAATTAAAATGGTTTTTCTGCAGATCACCATTTAAAAACTTATCCACCTAATCTTGAAACAAATCTGTCCCAGGACAGTGGCCAATGATGATCAATACCCCCATCCCACCTAGGCTTGAGTGGTGTCTAATGACTCAGGAAGTGGATGGCTAGGTAGTGACTCAGAGGCTGGGGTAATCGGGAAAGAGAAGGATACCTCCTTCAGCTGATAGGTGGGACCTAAAACAATTTAGAGCTCAGGATTATCCTGCATGCTTTCTCCCTCCTTTTCTAAAGGAATCTCCCACTTTTCTCATTTGTGCTTCACCTACATATGTGGACATAGCATTGAGACTGGTGTAGTAGATGTTCAATAAATGCTTTAAGAATGAATGAATGTATTCTCCAACAAGTTCATCCAAAACAAAAACTATCCTTTAGTGTTTGTTTTAGCTAATTTTCACTTGGATAAAAATTGTGGGGTGGAGTTTGGGAAGGATTATATTGTATGAGTTTTCCCATGCCTCATAGTTTCTTAAGAGGTAGTCCTGCCTCTCTGCTGTAACCTTCTTATAATCTCTAATTAGTGTAATGATTAATGAGATATGTGTAGAAATGCCAAACTTTGTAAGTGTAATTTACACAAATATATGTTTTTATGAAACATGCAAATTTGAATAATGGAGTCCTTGTGACTCTGGCAAATAAGGAACTAGAATGAAACACAAAGCAAACGTTTGTCTTTAGGATCCAAAAACAGCATTATGAAACTGGATCTTAAAACCTTTGAAAGGTTTAAAGGACATAATAGTGCAAATAAAATTGGATAAAACAAGTTTAATGTTTTAGGAAAGGCAAAGAATTAAAAAAATTTGCAATCCCAGAAGCTTCAGAAGCCTACTTTGATATACTTTTCCCCCCTCAAGCTTGAATATTTGGGAAGTTGCTTTAAGAACTCTAAAACTCATGTGGAAAATAAATGCTTTTTTTCAGATATAGAAAATGTATACTTGAACCATTATTGCATGAAGAAAAGGTAATTTTGCCCAAAGAAAATTATATCTACTATTCATGAAAAGTAATGACTGCTATAAGAAATATAATCCTGGGTGCCCGGAGCCGTGTAGGGAATTTCGAATGCACAATACCAGGCTAACGGAGATTCTCTGAGTGATTTTTACAGATGAAGCTGAGCAAAGGAATACAAGAAGGATGAATTGTTTGAAAAAGAAAAATTTCAGAAAATTAAAAACAAGCATCCATCTTTCCCAAACACATTTTCAGGTATTACAGAAAATAGTATCTAATACAACATTGAAACTTGTTTAACTCTATTGAAAAATTCCAAATACAGTAATTTAGTAGAAATGGCATTTTGGTTGTTTTTTTCCCCCAGGGTTGGTGAGCACTTACTTATACCATCTTATTGCTTTTCTGTGTGAGTAGGAAGGTAAATATAAATGGGAAATTTATATCAATTGTTTGCTTTCCTTATAATCTTTTCCAAACAGCGTTGTGAAGGCAACTTTTACAAAAAGAGAGTTATTTTTATATTTAAATGTCGGTTGCCTATTTAGGAAGTGGAAGAGCTTATGTTAGAGACTGCTTCTCCAACTCCATTTTAATGTAGATGTTCTATCACAGAAATTTAGAATTTAAAGGAAATTTAGAGAATCTAGTTCAAAGCTTTCATTTAATTGAAAGAGGAAACTGATCTCTTGTGCATTGTACTGAATCACACAATGCCTGGGATACAGCTGAGGCTAGAGCCAGGACCTAACTGCCGAGTTCTGTGTACTTTTTACTATAAACATAAGGGCTCTCATTCCCTCTCTGGTTTACTTCTGGTAAATGGAAGAATCATAAATATCTTACATTCTCATCTCAATTTAGGTAATAGCCTAGAGTCTTTAGACACATGTGTTTATAGATTTACCTCCCTCCATTCTTTCCAGAAAGCCGCATGGCACAGATGCTGTGGTTAAAGGAATTCCCCTCCATTCTTGCTATATTATATTTATTGTAACTAACTAATTCCATATTGAGACTATCATTTCTTCCCTTGAGTGTTATTAACTTGGTTTTTATTCAGTTGCACAAATGGAATGTTATGTTTCTGAATCTATCTGCCTCAAATGATATAATTTGGGCACGATTCTTTAAAGAAACACAATGTATGCTTGCCTACTATCAGAATATAATAAAATATCTGACAGAAAAATATAAATTGAGGGGTGATGATTATTGAAAATGATTTATTTTATTAAAAAATTCCATAAAGATTCCCTTAGTTAATTCTAGCTTAAATTTCTGAAATTTAGTTTATGCCTAGTATTTCAATAACATGATGTAAACAAAATTCATTTGAATTTGATGACAAGTAAAAAGCACCCAAACTTTTCTAAAAAACTCTTGAAGCTCAAAGCGCTAGTTATATTTAATAATATAAACAATAATATACTTATTATTTTATTTTTACTTTCTGCCAAGGCCCAGGGTTGTTTGGTAGGATGAATGATACTATCTGTAGACTGGAAACAGATTTAAATTGCTTAAGTTCAATGCCTAGAAATAGCCTGGAGAATTAAACATGCCTGAGAAAAGGGGGTCAGAAAAGTATTATGGAAACAGTGGTAATTAAGGAGTATTCCGCTTAAGTCTGTTTTGGGTCAAGCAGTATCCAGAGGGATGTGAGGCTTTGTTTGTAGGCTGTAGTTTATTGACTCCGGCTGTAGCGTCTGCTGTTGGCAGAGCTGCTCTTAGCCTACAGATGTTTTGGTTCTGTAGAACGAGAAATTAAGTGTTTAGTCTGTCATCCTGGGGAAGGGGAATGGAGCCCTCTCCCGAGGAGAGCTGACCCAAGGGCTGCCCGTAGGTGGACCGCGTGCAAGGTTGTTTGACAGGTACTGAGATTCACAGTGTTCACGCACAGAGCATTTCCCCTGGGAAATTAGTAGTCAATAAAATGTCACTAAAGTAGTCAATAAAAATGAAGCCGAGATTTGGAGGCCATACTTAAATGGGAACTTGGATTAGACGGCCTCCCAGGTAGCAAATGGCGCAGTCCAGTGGAGTAACTGGGGGCAGCCTGGGCGGGGCTGAGCTGGAACTCTAGCCAAGGCGGGCAGCCTGTGGGTGGCCCTGGGAGTCCAGGGACTGGCGAGAACGCCACTGGAGCTTGCCGCCGAGAGAGGGGGAACGCTTCATGGTTGACGAAGACACCAGACCATTTCTTAAGAGGTGCTTAGAACTTGGGAAAAAGAGAAATTTGTATTGTTCAGAGTGATAATAGAAATAATAATTATCACTTGTACAGAGCATGCAGTGGGCACAGCGACCCAGGAACGGCACCGGCCAGCGAGCTGACTTTATGTGCGTGCGGTGTGTCGCGCAGTCGCTCCGGCCCACAGTCTGGCTTCGGTGCTCTGTGTCACTATCTTAAAAGTCTCAATTTTTCAACAAAGGACTCTTTATTTTCATTTTGCACCGAGATTCACAAATTATTCAGGTGGTCTTGTTAGAAGGAGACACAAAAAGCTAAGAGATAGATACCAGAGGCAAATTTTGCGTACATTTTAATTTTGAGTTGTGGAAAATTCTATTCTCTATTGCAGGATTTGGAGGAGGGGCATCTAACTCCGCAGTCCCCAACCGCCGCGCGCAGACGCGCTGGTCGTGGCGCAGAACGGGCGGCGGGGCGGGCGCGGGGCGGGCGGCGCAGCTGCAGCTGCGGGCACGGTCAGGCCGTCCGCCCGCCCGGCTCGTCCCGCGCGCTCGTGTCAGGCCCGCGTCCGTCTCGGGCCCTGCGTAGCTGCGCGGGCGGTTGCGGCTCCTTGCGCGAGTCTGGTGCCTGCTGGTCTGCGGGGCTGAGCGGCGAGGCGCTGGGAGCGGCGAATGCAGGCGATCATTAGCAGAGAGGTCTGACTGCACAATAGGTGCAATGCGCTTGAATCGTCCCCAGACCATGCCCCCACCCCTGAGACCTGTCCACGGAAAAACTGTCTTCCATGAAAGCTTCTTGGTGCCAAAAATGTTGGGGACTGCTGATTTAAGTAACACTGCTGACACTGTGGTTGATCAAGGTCAGAGGGCATTGGCCCGTGCAGCTGCGGAGAGTGAGCGGCGACGACGGTGGTGCCGGCGTGCTGCGGGCGGGGGCAGCGCAGTGTGGACCCCACGGGTGGGGGTGGTGGCGTGGGGTAGGTAGAGCCAGGGCCGAGGTCTCGGAAGGTTCAGAAGCACAAGGTAGCAGCCAGGTGAAAGATCCATGGCAGGGTCATCAAAGTTGCCTGGGCAGTTGCAGTTGACCTAATTGGGAAGCTGGGTGAGTAAACAGAATTTATAGTTACGTTCCCCTGACTCACTGGCGCAAAGAGAAAGTCGCTTGATTCTCGGTGTTTCAGATTACTTATCGAAATGATTTTGCATGCAAGCTGCCCGCCAGCAACTAACAGTTTTCATGTGATACTATCGGTCAAGTGCTTTGGGTTCCTAAGAGATAGGCTCTTTATCAGCTGGTACAGTAGCCTGTCCCTTTGTCAAGAAATAAATGTATCTGGGGTCTTGTAGAGTTGCCCAGGAGGATTGGATCTGAGGACGTTTGGGAGTTCAGGTGTGCTAGTCTGCAGTTCTCTAGGGACAGGTGTGCAATGGCGCCCTCCTTCCCACAGGGGCTCCAGGGCATCATCTGGCTGTGTTTCTCACAGTTGAGTGCAGGAGCAGACACAAGATGTTAGATCTCTCAGATATTGCAGATGGGTCCTACTTAATCCAGAGGGTTCATAAAATTGATAGTCCGTGAGCTCTCAGGGCATTACAAATAAGTTTGGTTGACTCCTTAAATTTTCAAACGACAAAATTGACAGAGAGAAGGACAGTGGGCAGCGCAGGTCTCACAGCCGGGCGCAGACCCGTCTCATGCCCCGGTCTCCAGCTGTCGGGCTACGGCTTTCCCCTTGTATCACACATGTCTGCTAGGCAGGCTCATTATGGATATATCTGAGGAGTTCTGTTTTGTTTTGTGTTTACAGATGTCCTCAAGGGTATTATGGAGTATTTATTATTCAGAGTAATAATAAAAATAATAATTATCATTTATATAGAGCACACAATGGGCACAGTGAGCTAGGAACTTCACCTAATCATTTCAACAACCTTGAGAGGCAGATCCTATTATCTTCATTTTTCAGAAGAGGAAGTTGAGACTCAGTATCACCGTGGCTCTTAATTCGATAGATGTTAGCATGTCATCAACCACCCGGCAGCTTTGGGCAGCTGCTCCTCTCTGAGCAGACTCCCATGCATTGGTGGGAGCTCTTCCATTTTATTCTCACTGAGCAAGAACTAGACACTCATGACAAGGTATTAATCTTATAGCATTTAGTCTTTGTTATGTTCTTAGCTGGATCATAGCTTGCCCTATGTTGATACTTCAGAAAAAATTTATGATTATATATATGTATGCTATTAGTTGTGAATAAGCAGAGGAAAGAGTGAACTAAAAGGATTTATTTTTCTTTGTATTAATTAATGATATTTAATTTCATTTTTTTCCAGTTGATGACATAGAAGACTTAATTTACTCCTCATGATCAAATCTCTCCGTTGGAGATCATACTCTTACAAAGAATCCAAGTGAGAAGGATGGGAATGAATAAGAGCTAGGAGGGTGCTGCTTTTATAGAAATGTAATGATGACGTGTATATTTGCAACCACCCAGAAGACCACACTCAAACCGATTATTTTGATTATAAGAAGGGACAATATTTGAAATCAACTTAAGTAGAGCTCACTAGAAATGCAAGGACAGCTAAGGGAAATAAAAGGTTTTCCTAGGTTGCACCTGCCCAAGATGTTTAGAACTTAGGCTAAAGGGAAGCAAAGGCCAGAACATGCATATTCACCCCTCTGCTAGGTGCAGAGCAGAGCAGTGTCAGGAAAGGGAGGGCAGGCAGATGCCAGTCAGGGAAGTTGCTAAGGACTTGGTGCCTTTTCTCCTGCAGCTCTTTGCCAACCCCATTTGGAGATGCAGGGCACGGCCCTGAAATAGCCTCAAGGCTCTCCTGTCACTGCTGTCCTTCATGGTAAGTAGTGAAGCCATCAGACTCCATTTACCTAAACTCACGTTGTTGTTTCCCTTGTAACATTCTAGTTCCGCTAAGGTTGCTATGAGTAAAGCAACATGTAAAGTAGCACACCGGTTCCTGTCTGACAAGCAAAGTGCGGTTTCTCATCTCTCCCCAGGGGCCACTTATAATGAGAAATTGGCCTTGTGAGCTTTGAAACTTTTCCATTCACAACCCTGTATGTCTTTTATTATTTTGCCTTTTAAAATTAGCATGCTATTTTAGACAATTAAAAACACACCAGGCTTTAGAAGCATAACAAGCATCAGGCCCTGTCTCTTCTTTTAAAACTATTGAGTTTTAAGTTATTACCCCAATGAGAAAATATGAAAATACATGTGTATTGATTATGTTTTCATCTTGAGGCTCTTCTACATATCTAATGAATGGATATTTGTGTGCGGATTTGGTTCCTGTTTCCCCATGAGATTGCGCTGAATTCTAGAGTGTGGTAGGACTCAGAGGGCATGATAATTCTGCAATGTGGTTATATGGCACCTGGCACCTTGCATTGTCCGCTTAGCACCAGACCATCAAGTGGATTTTCTTGTTAATAATGGCCATACTTTGCAGGTGCTAAGTTTTAGAATTTAGGCAGTGATTTGAAGTTACTGGGAGAGCAAAAATGTCTTCTGATTTCATAGGCACCCCTCATTTGTGCCCTAGCTGCAGTCTGTATGCACTCCTGTGTCACTGTGCTTATCACAAGGCGCTACACTTGCATGTTGAATTGTCTGTCTCCCTCCCTCTTGGAGAAATAGGGCGTGTGCTGTCTCAATCATTCCTGGGTCCTCAGAACAAATTAGTGCATGGCCTTCGTGGGAACTCTATAAATCTTTGTGCAACTGAATTGATACCCTTAAAATAATATTTTAGTACCTTTAATATGCCAAGTATTGGAAAGAGTGCCTTAAAGACATTTAATCTTCATAATAATCGTAAGAGGCTGTTTGTTTGGGTCTTCATAATAGACATAAGGAATCTAAACTTCAGATAGGGTAAGCAGCATGCTTACTAAACTTCAGCTGAGCTACCTAATATGGAACTGGGGCTATGTGACCATAAAGGACATTTCTTATATACTATGCCATGCTGCATAATATATCAGAAAGTAGAGTTATATAAAAATCACCCCAGATGCTGATGGGAATTTATAAAACATGAGAGATGGGGAAGTTTGTAGAAATACTGGCACAAGGGATATTGGCAGAGGGATGTAGCCCTTTCAAAATGTTCACAGAGAAGTACTTTTCATTGACTACAAATATTTCTTGTTCCTTAAACAAATAAACCAGGTAAAGCCTGTTTGTTCATTGTTTCTACCATTTGAATTGGCTATTGTAACTGTGAGGATGGCATAACCATTGCTATTTAATTCATTGGCACTGTTGAGCACCTTCTAATTCTGAGAATGATTTTGAGTGGGCTTGGGGGTGGGGCAGAGTGGAGTACACAAGATAGTATAATACACCTGTGATTTTCACAAGCTTACAGTGTAATGGTGAATAAGAAGGGTAATCAAATTGCTATATAACAAAAGAGAACACAATAAATGTAATAGAAGTGGTACAACCTATAAAGAATAGGAGTAAGAAATTATATCTGGTTGGTGATATCATAAATATATTATGGAAGGGGTAGCACTGGGAAGGCCCTTGAACAATGGGTAGGATTTAACAGGTTTATGTGCTGGACATTTGAAGTCAATAAAGACATGGTCTCTGCCCTTAAGAACAGCCAAGACTTGCTGGTAAAAATAAGTACCGAGTGAGTATTAATAGGTCAGAGAACAGTAGACTAGAGAAAGCGATTAAGAAATAATTATGCAAGACAATATGGTGAAGGTGATGTGGGGCCTTGTGCTGCTCTAGAGGAGTAGGAAAGACTCCTCTTTCCTACTATGGGTGGGCAGCAGTCCGTGGGCCTGCGGATGTAAACTGTGTTTATCTAGCCCTTCAACATTTGTTCCAAGAAAGGATCCAAAGAGGCTTTCAGAGATTAATAGGAAACCACCTAAATCAGTGTAAATTCCAGCTCCATAACTCAGTTTTCACGAGAAGTCAGAATGCTTTGAGTAAGAAATCCACAAGATTTGGAAAGGGAAAGGATTTGTCCCTGAACAGTAGAGTGGATTGTTGTAATACTCATCAAAATTGGCAAAGAAGAATCAGGCAGCATTTGTGTTGGATTATATTAAAATCACGTCAGAGACTATGAATAATTAAAACCACTCTAAAGGGAAGTTTGTTTTTCCTTCTTGCAATACACATATGACTCTGGCACAGAAAAATGTTTTTCTAGTTAAATTTTGCTTCATTTCCCATTTAAGATTTGTCACAGTAAATAATCCTTTCCTAAATAGCAATATCCTGAACGTAAAATATAGTGAGTGTTGTCTGAATATTAGGCAACCATTCCCATTGTGGGATCTTCCGTAGATGAAGGTTATAAAATGTAATAAAGTAACACACATAATCAAACACTAGAAATGCTTCCACGATGAGGACAGAGATATTTTTGCTAACATAAAGAAGATGGGATGTTAAAGCTGTTAATTGGCTGCACTATGGCAATAGCTTTCTCACAATGTCAAGTTTCTCCTTTCCTCACATGTTTATAGCTCCATACTGATCAATAAGTTATTATTTTAGAAGCTTTTTTGAGTAGCTATTTGCATACCATAAAATTCACTCAACTAAATTTGATCATAAAATCTGATGATTTCAGTAAATATATACAATCATGCAAACATCACCACAATCCAATTTTAGAACATACCCATCACTCTCAAGAGATCCCCTGTACCCATTTCCAGTCACCAACCCCCTGAGACCCAGGCAACCACTAATCCATTTTCTGTCTCTTTAGTTTTGCCTTCATCATATGAATTTTGAGGGCACACAACCCATTCAACCCATAATGTTTAATAATAAAAATAAATACTCACTTGGCATAGAATACCAAGTACTGATCTGTGAGCCTTGCAAATATTAAGTCACTTAATCCCCATAACCAACCTACAATCTTTATTAATCTATTATCCCTGCCTTATAAGGTAAGAAAAACAGAGGCAGAGAAAGGTCGCACAGCAGTGAGTGTTGGCTGTGCCTTGTGCACTAGGACGCAGGCCGCGTCTCAGTGCCCGTGCCTTGCGCCCTGAAGCACACCGCCCCCTCCTGGGCACTCACAACCTGTCCAAATGGCGTTTACATTATAATGAAACACAAAAATTCATTGGTAATGGAGAGTTTACAACCCTAATCTCTTAGGATGGCATTATAAAGGAAATTATATTCCTCTTTGACAAAGAAATGCAGATTTGAAATGGTCCTTGATTTTCATTAAAGAGAATAAGCAAGATGAACCTACTCATAGTATGTATATACTTATATTAGGTTGTACTGTATGTAATTATCTTTTTACAGGGTAAAAAATGGTAGCATACTGATAATTTTATATGGTACAAGCTAATATCTTTACTGATGTTTAAAGCCAACTCTTGTTGGCTTCCAAAACTTGTCTTTTCTTTCTAGATCAAGTAAGCAAATCATCTAATTTCTTTGGAAGTTTCTTCACCCTTCTATACCCTGCCATTCCCATGCATCCAAACATCCGGGCAGCCAAGCCTGCAACATCACCGCCTCAGGGAAGGGTGATGCACAACACACAGAGAGCAAAGTGAACAGCAACACAATATCGTTATTGGCTTTGGAAGTTCAAATGCTTAAACTAGGACATAAAATATAGATTTTGAGAACCAGCAGACATTTTTCTACCTCTGTTCTCAGTACCAGAGAAAAAAGGAAAAAAGTCTGACTAGCAGCAAGAACCTTCTTTTCTGAGAAAATGAGAGTCAGTTACTGAGCAGGGACTGCTTTGCCTTCCTGCCCCAGGCCAGTCGGGGAAGGCGTGGAGGGTGGGGCACCGCAGCACGCCCCTCTGGTTGGGTGGTGCCATGGATGATAGCAAGATGCCGCAGTCCTCGTGGGACCACATGGTTCAAGTTATGCTGTGGTCATAAATCTCATTGGTTTATTTCATAGTAAATCTAAACTTACTAACACAGAAGTTTAGAAAATAAAGAGAAAAATAGAAAAAAATTAAGATTTTTTTTTTGCACACTTGAATTTGCTGACATTTATAATTGTTACACAAGAGAATTATGATATTGAATTTTTAAATCTAAAATTCAGCTTTTCTTTTTACCCTAAATAAATGCTCTAGATTTTTATATACATAGCTGCTAAGGGCTAAAGTTTCAATATTTTGAAGAAAGATTATATTTATAATATATTTTATTGTAAAATGTAGGGTACTTTAGGAAATACTTAGAGAAATATTTAAGATATTAGAGAAATAAAGTATTTTGGGATCACTTTGGCTTTATTTAACAAAATCATGTAATATGTGAGGCAGTGGATTACATAGATAAGTAAGACACAGTTTCTACCCTTAATTGCATTGTTCATATTTTTATGACTTTAATCTCTATTTCTGGCAACTTAAAATAAGCTCTGAGTATACAAGCTTATGGGGGGTGAATATAGTGAATAGGAGAAAAGTAACATGACTTTTACTTGGGGCAAGTTTGAGTTGGAGAATTTCCAGGTAAACAAATCTAAAATAAACTGTATGAATTATGACCCACTAATGATCATAATGGAAGTCCGTGATGTGAAAATTACCAACTTTGGTGTTAGAAAGAGATGGATCTGTATCACAGTTGAGTCATCACACTAGCTGCCTGAAATACAAGCAGGTCACTTAACATAAATGTTAGTTTCCTGAGGAATAAATCAAATATTATAAGAGGATCAGTAATGACAAATATACAAGTGCTTAATAATCGGTAAATTTTATTAATATTATTATTTTATTGTTATTATTTTCCTGTGATAATGCCAATGCAGTATATATACCTTTAAAATGTTAGTGATCATGGCAGTTATTTGAGAAGA